AACAGTTCCCTAAAGCTTTTATGTCGACCCTCGCCAAACATCTTCCACACGTCAGAGTATCCGAGCGCGGTGAAAGCCGCGACTTTTAGCTCTAAGAGGTGGTTTTGGCTCGGGTTGAGGTCTACAGCGTGAACGCGACGGGGACTGTTCAGGCAGAAGGAGAGGATGTTGTCGCCGGCTGACGTTATCGCTAGCACGATGTCGGAGGAGGTGGGATGCAGGAGGCGGAAGTCAGCGCGGTCGTCTTCCCAGGTGAAGGCGTAGATGTAGGAGGAGTTGAAACGGGTGTGTTTGGGGAGGTTTTCGTCGTAGTGGATGCGCCAGTGGTGGTTTTGGTACCTTTGAGCAGTATCAGCCTGGAGAATTTTCGAACTGACCTTATAGTAGCTCGATGTATGTATCTTGATAGGAGAATGAGGGAAATCGTGTGGGAAGCTGAGGGACTCAACTTACCAAGTAGCAGGCAAGGGCAGGCTGGATTGCAAATTCACAATCGCGGACTCATACGCCTTGGATCGAACTTCAACATCATTCTGCACCGGGCCAGTTTGTAAATCCAAGGCAGAAAGATAGGGGGATTCGGTAGCCGCAGCATCGATCTCCGCCAATTTCGCCGTCGAAGCCCCATTATCCTTTGAACATCCGATCCAGATGTAATAAGGGAGTCTGACGCCGAAGAAATGGTTCCGAGCGTTCATGCTGAGAACAGTGCCAAAGCGATATTCAAGGTAGTCCTAAAAATCCCATAAGCATACTCGTTTAAAATGGGGAGGGAGGACCCAGAGAGAATCGGGCGTGGTGGTTTCGATAGCGGTAAGGAGGATGGACGTACCCGTCGAGCAGCTTCTAGATTGACCCGATCAATCTCAAACCATGTCCTCCAAAACACTCTCGAAATCCACATACAGTGCCTCCCTACCACGCCCCCTGTATAATTCCTCGCCCCAAAATCAACCTTACTCTGGACGTAGAAGTCCACAACGCCGACAATGCCGTTCGGCGCAACCAAATCTTCAATCTTGTCGATCACTGGGTAAAATTCAGGGATCATGGAGAGCGCATAGGACATAGTGAGGACTTCGGCGCCGGTGGAGAGAGAGTCGGGAGGGAACGTGATTGAATTGGACGGGAGACGAAAAGACCGAGCATCTTGACAGACGACATGTACGTTCTTCCAACCCAGACGGGCGAAGCGTTTCCGTGCTATATCGCAGAGAGAAGGCGAGAGGTCGACAACGTAGACGGCGCGAAAGAAGTCTGGGATAGAAACGAAGGCGTTCATTTGCTCCACACTGGATGTCGATTAGCCTCCCACACGTCATAATGTTTGTTCCGGATAGTTACTTGTGTCCCGTGCCACCGCCAATCTACATTGTCAGTACGAGCTAGGCGTGGAATGTGGTAGCTTACATCCACCCACACCGGTCTCTGAGAAACCAGACCAGCTTCACACCGATGTTTCAATTGTGCAGCCACCAAACCCAGCATATCCCCTCTTCCCTTCAGAAGTCTCGTCCGCGTAGCATCGTAAACATCGGCTTGAGCTTTGTAAAAGCTTTCCTGTTCCTCGTTAGCCCAGAAGACTCCACTTCAGTGTCTGAATCACATCAATCCTGCCTGCAGAGATAAGACGTACCAAAGCATCCTGCTGGCTCCCACTCCCGTCCCCTGTATGCGGCTTTACAAAACACGCATAAAAGAACTTGAGATACGCCTGTATTGTACTTGGTTCGCCTTTCTTCCGCTTCGAAGCAAAGACAAAGACAGTGAAAAGGAAGATGCCGATGATAGCAATGGACAAGACGACCAAGTTGAAGGGGTAGCACGGGAGAAGCGCCGAGAGGGTGAGCATGACTGCGACTCAAAGAGATAGATTGACTAGATAGAAAGGAAGCAATGAGGAGGGGCAAGTTCATTGAAAGTAGACGAGGGGTTATAAGAAACCATAACACATCCCACCAGTTCCGACGAGTATTCCGATGTCGCCTCGTCTTGAACCGAACCCGCATGACGGCTAGAGCATCTGCATCATCTATACTTCATCTGAACCAACCAAATAAAACACATGTTACCTTCTACCCTTCCTCCAAATAGCAGCCCTCAAATGCAAAACACTAGGAAACCCCGAGAGTCTCTCCAGGGCTCTCAATTCCCATTATGTGAATCTAAGAGATGGACCTATCATATTCAAACAAATTTCCTCGTGCGTTGACAGCTTGGTGTTGAGGTTACCAATGTTCGAAGCTCGCACAGCCCTGGGGAATAGTTCGTCGTTGTTGCTACGACCAATCAGATATGAGCAAGTGACGGCGTGCTGGAACCACAACACCAGAATGCAGGGTCTAGGTCAGACAAGGTACGGAACATGTTTTGCATGCGGTAGCGTAGGGTTTGACCCTCGGACCTTAATTTTCTGTTGCTGCTGATCGATTTGAGGTTGTGGTCGGTTCGGGCAAAGTCGGCTGTTGGACATGGAGGAACGAAAGATGCCTGTTCGAGTAAGTAGAACGATAAGGTGGACAAGGTGACACAGAAATAAAGGATCGTTTCTGGTGATGATGACTTCAGTTGCCATGCCTGATTTCTATTTATTATTACAGGCGCGCCGTGACGATGGACGACGCGCGCATGCAACCCCCTCCCGTATGCCCAACTGATCCACTACGCGTAGAAGTTGACGGTATCCTTCTTCTTGGCCTACGGAATAGTCAGTAAATGTCAGCCGAAGTCACTGCGAGTGCTTACCTGAACTTCTGCTATGGCATCGACGTAGTGCTCGTGGCTGATCTTCTGCTGTCCTAACCGGAGAGCAATCATGCCCGCCTCCACACATACGGCCTTGAGTTGCGCACCACCAAACTCGTCAGTGCTGCGTGCCAACTCAGGCCAGTTGACGCCGTCATCCACCGTCATCTTTCGGGAATGAATACGCAGAATCTGGGCTCGCGCTTCCTCGTTCGGGAGGGGAAATTCGATCTTCCTATCAAGACGACCTGATCGGAGCAGAGCGGGATCTAAAACATCGACACGGTTCGTTGCGGCAAGCACCTTGACACGGTCGTCGGATGCAAAACCGTCGAGCTGGTTGAGAAGCTCCAACATGGTTCGCTGCACTTCGCGATCACCAGACTTCTCCGAGTCGAAACGCTTGGTACCCACAGCATCCAGCTCATCAATGAAGATGATTGAAGGTGCCTTCTCTTTTGCCAAAGCGAAGCAATCCCGGACCAGCTTGGCCCCGTCTCCAATGAACATTTGTACCAACTGGGGACCGGCGAGCTTGAGGAAGGTGGCGTCGGTTTGGGCTGCGCAGGCTCGGGCGAGGAGCGTCTTTCCGGTACCTGGGGGACCGTACATAAGAGCGCCTGTATATTGTTAATGACAAATTATTGATTGCCTGGGCTGGAACTTGCCCTTTGGAGCCTTGATGCCAATCTTCTTGAACCGCTCCGCCTCCTTCATGGGCCACACAACAGCTTCTACCAGCTCTTCAATCTGCTTGTCCAGTCCGCCGACATCTGTGTACTTCTCTGTTGGCTTCTCGTCGACCTCCATTGCCTTCACTCTGCTGTCGTACTCGGCAGGCAGTGTGTCGAGGACGAGGTATGAATCCTTATTCACTCCAATGAGATCGCCAGGTTTGAGCTTCTCATGGTCGACGAGGCCGATGAGCGGAAGGAAGATGGTTTGTCGGGTCGAAGTCTTGATGACTGCGGACTTGCCTACGCGGGTGGCGTCCAGGTCGATGTTAGCACCCTCTTCCGCTGCCTCTGCGGTGACGTCGAGATCGAGGATCTCCACAACGTTACCGACGAGATATGGAAGTTGCCTACGTACGTCAATTTACAAATTTGTATAACCGCCACCAAAAGTGGCTGCGGGTACGCTGCGAGGGAATGGACAGTCGCACCTGTTGTTCTCGATCTTTTCCAGATTATCCTTAATCTTCTCATTCATAGATGCCTTCTCGTGTGTCAACCGCTGGAACTCGCTCTTCATGATGCGCATGTCGTTCTCCATCAGCCTCTTCCGCGCAACGATGTCCCGCGTGCCCAGGTTTAGAATCTCCTCGTCAAGCACTTCCTCTTCGGGCTCTGCATCTTGCATTTCTGCATCACCATCGGCCTTCTTTCCGTCCTCACCATCCTTCTTCTTCTCGTCCTTCTTGTCTTCCTTCTGCTCGCGCTCGAGGTCATCGAGGTCCTCAAGTGTTGACATGGTGACGGTTGTACGGTGTGGGGGTTTGAGTGAGGATGAGGGGGGACGATTTTTAGGTGCGGACGATCAAAGTGAGTGGTGTTGGGCAGAATAGCTCGTGAATGGGTGGTGGGAGTGTTGGTGCAGAGCTGTTTGGAGGCAGCTCTTGATTACGAGGAAGCGTCGGGATTAGTGAGAGCAACCGCCGATTGGCTTGGCAAAATGCACCGTGCGTTCCGATGATGTTATAGTCGAAATATGAGTTGCGGTCTCGATGAAAACAAGAGAGGTGTTGATTCTGCGCAGTGAAAGATCAAAGGAAAGGTGGTATGTCTTGTCCGATCGCAAAATACTAGTATGTTTGCTGGGCAATGTATCGCGATATTCGACACGCTTTTACACCCTATCATACCGTTTCACAGTGAATATCAAAACAATATAGTTAGCAATGCAAAGGGTGTCTCAGTTAGGCTCCCTTTCTAGGCCGAGTATTCATGGGCCTCTATCCCTCTATCCTGTGCATAGTTGACAACGCCCTTACATAGACTACTACCTTCTAGTCTAAAACAGGCTAGCGAAGTACCAGCCACACTTACCAGCTGAAAGGGCTACACGCAGAATTTCGATATCCTTGTATGTTTGCTAAGTGATCCGATTGGTAAGAAAGGTGGTGGTCTGTGTGATAGCGTTGTCGACCATGAGGTGACGTAGGTTTGGGAATTTAGACTGCCCAATGTAAACCATACTATATTTATGTTTTATAAGTAAAATTTTATTAAAATCAATCTGAAGATACATCAAACGATGTCGTGGCCTAATGGTAAGTTTTACAAGTAAAATTTTATTGAACTCAATCTAACGATAGATCAGGCAAGGCGCTACTTTCCGGTGGTAGAGATTGAGGGTTCGAGTCCCTTCGACATCGCATATTCTTTTTGTTGCAAAAGGTTTCCTATCATCTGTTTTGGTTTTTGCTGGTCTAAAATTATTTTAGTGAGGGGGTAAGCTCGCAGCTTGCCGTATCAAACATACGCGAGATGTGTGTATATCACAGCACGCTTCCGCTATCAAAGATCCCAGACACATGATCGCGTGTGACCCTCCCCACGGAGTTTCACAATGAACACTTTTTACAGTCCTTTCCGTTAGCTCCTTTATTCTGCAATATAGTCTAAGCAAATTCTCACTGCGAGCCTAGCTCACTCTCGTATCTCCTGATGGCTTCGGCAAGGGCTTTTAGTCGCGTGAATTCGCGGTAAGCCAATGCATGTTTTCCCAAATACTCTCCGCTCATTAGCCAGCTGCAGCTTCGCAGTAACATCAACGCGTCTCCAAAGGCCGACTCATCTTGCATCATTCCAAAGTATCCGCTTCAATTCCTCAGCCACAGAAACCAATGTGCAAGAAGAAGATCCCTCTCCCACAGGCAAGAAGGGCAAAGGCTTCACCAAACGCCTAGACCGTGCACTAGGAACAGAGCGCGTCCTCCCCATCCGACGCACAGGTTCCGAGCTCCGTAAGCTCGATATCGAACTGAAGAATGTCTTCCGATTTGCGCGTTCTCTACGGTCGACAACCAAGGGGCCTTATGTAAGTCATTCCACGATGAAATAGCAATCTGTGGAATGGGGGATGGATGTGTTGCTGATGATGTTGATCGAGTAGAGGATATCGACGAAATTCGGAGGGGATAATTTAAAGCACTGGCCGCATTTGTTGGACGATAGTTTGGATAGCGGGATGGTGGGACGGGAGACTAAGGTTTGGGTTGGTACGGAGGATATGTGAGTTGTCTCTCTTTATTGATCGGGCACGTCAATGATGTGATGAAGCTGACGGGGATTGCCAGACCAAATATTTGGCTCAGGTAAGAGCATGCAAGACCTTTTCACCTTCATAATCACTCCATAATATTTACATTATGAAGGGATAACTGCCAATGCTCGACCTGCGTCCATGTCGACACAAAACAACGGCTTCTCGACACATTTTCTGTAAGACGAAGGAACCACCTATCGTGCTCAGAAAATATTAATACTTAAAGTAGATTCCGCAAGACATATCCATCGCATCTGGTTCGGAGACTAAAGACCAAATCCACATCGAATGTAAATGCCCTTCTCTGCTACACCGTACCCAACTGCTAACCAGTACCAGGGAGTGATGGCCACAAGAGCCAATACAGTAAAGAATTCCTCCAGCTCGCTGCAGATAACCTTGAGAAGCGGTCCGTCGTTCGTCAGGCTCTAGTCGAGTGCGTCTCCATACACATCCGCATCAAGCTTCTTTATACTGACGCGCACGCAAAGCCAACACTTCTGGGACTCATCCATCGCCGGAAAACCCCCCAGTGTCTCATTGAAAAGTAACCACGACACCACGAACGCGCTCTTACGCAAAATCCGAAAATACGGCTTCTGCTTGGTTACTGACACTCCCGCGACCCCTGAAGCCACCGAACAGCTCCTCCGCAGCATCTCTTTCATCCGCGAGACGCACTACGGAGGCTTCTACGACTTCACTGCCGACCTCGCGTCAAAGGATACCGCTTACACGAACATTGCGCTCGAAGCGCATACAGATACAACGTACTTCTCGGACCCTGCGGGCTTGCAAGCTTTCCATCTATTGGAGCATAGTCAAGGTGAGGGGGGCGAGAGTTTATTAGTCGATGGGTTCAAGGTAGCGCGGGATCTGCTTGAACAGGATAGGGAAGCGTACGAGATCCTAGCGACTACGAACGTGCATTCGCATGCTTCAGGTAACGACGGGATTTCGATCCAACCCTATCGCGGCTTCCCCGTCTTCCAGCATGACATCGCCACTGGCAATTTGCTGCAGGTCCGCTGGAATTCGTCTGATCGCGCGGCTATCGAGCTCCCTATTCCCGAGGTCGGGAAATGGTATGACGCTGCGAGGAAGTGGGATGCGCTGCTGAAGAAGAAAGAGAATGAGTATTGGGAGCAGTTGAAGCCGGGAACGATAGTCATCTTTGATAATTGGAGGGTGCTGCATGGCAGGAGTGCGTTTACGGGGAAGAGGAGGATCTGCGGTGGGTATATCAACAGGGACGACTGGATTTCAAAGTTCAAGATGGCGCAGTTCGGGAAGGAAGAAGTGCTGGGGAAGCTCGCATCGGGTTAGTAAGTTCTCACCACTGTAATCGTGCATAGCACCCATCATACTCGAAAGAAAAGCATGTTGATACACCTGTCTGAGCTTCTGAACTTATACACATTTCCCCGCGACTGAAAGAAACGCTTTTCCATTTATAGTGTGCTCACCCCTCACCGGCCCTTCCTCTCGGCCTCCAGCTCCAACTCAGCCTGTCTATAGTACTTCGCCGTGTCGACACCGTGGTACGGATGATTCACAAAGTTGGGCCACAGGAGGACGTGCGAGAACACACTCGCATACCGCGAGTTCCTGTGCGCCACGCCCTGCATGTACTCGGTGAGCTCTGTTTTTCCGTACAGAGGCTCGCCCTTCTTGACCTTGTCGACCATTTCCCGCATATCCATTTCAATCTCGCGGCGGTTCTCACGGGCACCGTAGAAGCGTGCTGTCGTAATTACATTAGTACGAGCTGTCCATGGGAGATATGGGGCATGGTAAACGTACCGCATGACCGCGAGTAGGCAAATATGAAGCAGCCAGTCGCACCAATAGCGCATGAGAGCCTCATGATGGGTGCGAAACCGCCCTTGCCGACGAAAGACGGCGAGACCTTCTCCCAGTAGAGCATCAATCCGGGACTCAGGGCTCCAACACCTGCGCCGGCCAGCCAGTCGGAGGGGCGGGCGTATCGTATAACACGATTGAAATGTCTTTGATCATAATCAGTACTCGCATTCGCGCATTCGGAGGATAGGTAGAGCGTACGGGTCATTGTCGATGAGCTGGGGAGTGTTAGCTAATCCCTCTCCGTTGCGCGGCATATAGGGTTCAATTGCTTACAGGATACTCACCCGTAGGTACTTTGTCGGGTACCACGGGCTGTGAGCGCGTCTCTGTTGTGGCCTGAGACATGGTAATGTGGTGAGGGGACGTTCGTCGTGCTGTACTGCGGAGGTACTAACCAGCGAGGTGAGGTTCGAGACGGCAGGTGCCGGTGGCTCAAGCTTGTTAGCTTCCCGCGATCCCAGCTTTTTGCTTGGCGCGTTCGTGCTGCAAGTTTACATGCGACAACAATGAGTGCGCACGCCACTCTGCCACTCTCACCACTCTCTCAATCCGAGATATAGAAAGAGAAGGCGCAATTATGGAGGATATCAAGGTTGGAAGAGCGTCAAGCGCTCAGGATGCCGCAACCGCGCCCGCGACCCAAGCTCCGACTCTGCACGCCCGTCCCACTGTCGCCGATTTGCATGGAGAGAACCATTTCGCACAGGTAGCGAGGAAGAACTGGCTGAGCGGAGGCAAGGCGCAGAAGGCGCGGCCTGAAGTGGTCAAGAAAGAGTTATGGGATGAGCTGGAGAAGATCGACTTCGCATACCCGTCGCTACTCGTATTGGAGAACCTGCAGCTGCTGGAGAGATATCTATGGCCTGGGTTCACCGAGGACTCGTCGAACTACCATCATTTGCTTTTGGCGCTCATGGTCAATGTGAAGAGGAGGGAGAATCTGCCTTCATGGGGTAAGCGTTGTCGGATTGAAAGCGCCTCTGGACATTGCTAACGGTGAGGCAGAACACTTTGCGAGTCGACCAGCCGAATTCTCCTCCTTCTTTCGTCGCATACTGTCCATGACTATAGACACCTCGCAGTCGATCAAGATCCGGACACAGCTCATATCCTTCGTCATTGGCGCATTTCAATCCTTAGACAGCGGCTTGGTACGAAAAGAGTGCGCACCTCTGGTCAGCATATCAATATGGCAGAACTTGCATTCGGAAACCGTGCGAGAGCATCAGTTCGAACAACATCAGGTACTCAAGAAGGTGTGGAGGGCGGCGCACAAGCGGTTCGATGCTGGGGATGAGGCGCTCCAGGCGCGGTTGAAGTTTGAGCGCTCATGGCTGTTCGCATTGCTCCTGGACTTTCTCGATCGGCTTTACAACAACACCTCGCGACAGGAGATGCAGGATAATTTGGCTTATTGCGAGCGCTTCGTTGAGCTGCTGACGGATCTGCAAAGCCAGCTGCCGACAAGGAGATTCGTCAACACTCTGTTGCGGGATTTGAACATTCTACCGGCGATGAGATTGTCTCCAATGTACACGAACGAGGAGAATGGGCTATTTCGCGACCTCACGATACTCCTTAGCCACTTCACCTACTTCCCAATCGAAGACCAGACGGGAAAACAGCTGTCGAAGCTGGAGTACGACCAAGAACATTACGACCTACTTGCAAAGCTGCAAAGAGTCGGTTATGCGACGTTTCAAGAGAAGCTTCAGCTATTGGCACTGGCAAACTACGGCAGCGTGGGCAACAGGGACGAACTGGAAGGCCACCTTCGAACACTAGAAGACAGCGAAGTTGTCCAATTATGCTCGCTCATGGGGCTACGGACAGAGTATCCGAAATCGACGTTCTTGGTGCAGGACCGAGCCTTCTTTACAGAGGCACTGCTGGGATTGGTGGAACATCGACCAACCTTCAAGGACGTCGTACGCGAAATGCCCATACTGCCCACCGAGAAGATCCTATATGAGACGACATTCCTCCGCAACGAGTCTTACGATGGATCACGGCCACTGGCCATACCGAAGCTCAACCTACAGTATCTGACCATGGGCGACTTCTTGTGGCGGTCGTTCATCCTCTACAGAGCAGAGTCACTCTATGGCATTCGCAAAGATATGGAGGACGTTGCTAAGAGGGTCCAGCCGCGTGGTAAGGGCGCCGACGCAAGCTTCAGAGGCTTTTCGCGGATGTCGATACCCATCTCGAAGCCTGGAATTGTCGACGTGGCCCCGTCAC